CCCCCCCCCCCAATGTTTTAATTATTTGGAAGTCCGGAAGAGGGCGGCCATGATTTTTTACATTATTTTTTTTACTGAAAGACAATTTAGAAAAAATAATTTGATGTAACTTTGATACATTATAAAATAGTCGGCAATCATAATTATTGTGCACTCATTAACAATAACCATGAAAGTTTGTGATACAGAAAAGAGTCTAAAACACGTGGTAGAACTGGATCCTCCGATTATGGCCGCTGACCTTGTAGGGAGAGTCCAGTATGCGGACCACTCAATGAAGGAAGGAAGGAGTTTCCGTCTGTCAGTGAATCAGTCTGGAAGCCTGATAATTGTTGTGTTGTGACTGTGCTGTGTTAACAAGATGCCACCTGTTCGTTGAAATCTCCTTTCTGGTCATTGATAAAGCTCGTATCACAGACAAACCACCGACGTCTTAATCAAAGAAGGACGAAATGAAAGCCTGGATATTGGAAATAAACATCCCGTTTTGTGGCAACGTGTTGAAAGCTCAAATGTGCGATTTAATCAAATTAAATAACTCAAAGCACAAATATTATGTGATTGATCAGATTTTAGCAGACAAAGAACGTATTGTGTTGAGACTTCCGCCGTAAAATCCCGATTTAAACATTTTTGGGCAGATGAAAAACAATGGATTTCAAGCAAGAAGACAACATTTAAAATTAAGGACGTCGAGAATCTGTGTCGCCACAGATTAGAAGAAATTGGGCAAGAGGAATGGTATGATATATGTCAACATTTGGAGAATCTAGAGCAAATTTATTATGAATAAGAAGGCATAATGGAACGTATTATAATTGAAGATATTGGAGTGATGAATCGAGTGATGTTAGAAAGCGATGGTCTGTGAGGAGTGGAAGATTTGGAAGAGAACCGATGAGTTGTGAAGAATATAAAATTATCTAATACTCTCTGCAGTGTTCATCTTCTAGTGATGTGTAGTGAAATCGACTTTCCTGTGTTGCATACCGTGGTGATATTTTATTTGGAGTGTACTGTACACGCCATCCCTTCCAGCAAACTTCTGGTATAAGTGACTCGCTCCGAGGTTCCAATTCACAAAATTCAGAGGCCAAAAACGCTGCAGCTCCGATACTCGCTGGACCATAAACACAAAAAATTAATTTTTCAATTTTTGAAAAATTATAGGGTGTTCTGCCTACTATACATACATTCGTTCCCACCCACCTGATCTGACTACGCCAACCGGAGGAGTCTATCGTGCCATTTCACATGTACATTTTGAAATTTCTTCAATATAACGTGTTTGACCCCCCCCCCAAAAAAAAAAAAAAAAATTAGTTGCCATATCTTTTGAAGTAACCCTCGTATATTTATAGAAACGGAGGTGGCCACGACAACTCCCGAGAAAATCATGTGGATTGAATTTTTTTTCCTAGAGTCTGAATATACGAGCATCACGACCTTAAGATGACCTCAACCACGAATCATTTTTTTTTTCAAAAAAAGAAAGGTACCTCAAAGTAATTATTTTTTTAATGTTTGTGTGCTTCAATTGAAGGAGTTTCAAAACGGGTCCTGACCAGTGCAATTGTCCATCCGTCTTCAAATTTACGGAAGTCGCCATATTTGCTCTAATCCCCAGCCGTTGAGACACGTGGGACTGCAAATGATACGCATGCTTGTAATTTCAGTCGAACCACACCGCAGTTCTGGTACACAAACTGATCACCAAGACGAGAGACGCTGGACTCAGAGAAGAGGTACGTTTGGTCCCAAAGGAAATTATTCTAATTTCATCCTGAGGTTAAAGGCTTTATTTAAAAAATAAATCAGTCCTGTGACTCAAGCCACGACGTTATTGTAAAATCAAACAACAACGCGGAGGAAACTTGTACTAACGAATAAAACATCTGACGGCTTCGAACTGCTGTTATTCGCTTACGCTGCGGTTATACTGGATGCATAGCCTGGAACCAAATCAAGATGGAATAATCGAGAAAATGAAAGAAATTACCGAATGCGAGGAAATTCGTGTTTCTGCGAAAGCTTATTTTAACTTTAAAATAAGCACGTTCTTTTAAATCCTATGTCACTACCGCGCGCATCTTCCGGTACACACATAACTTTCTCTTGATTGGTAACACTAGATATTCACGCTCTATCAGCCGTTCACGATTTATTCTTTAATTCATAAATAAGGCCCCAAAATTTTCGTATCAATGTGTTTGGGCGTTAAGAATTTCGAATTTTAAAATCATGGTTTATATAAATATATTATTCGCCTCTGATATGAAATTATGTTTGCAAATAATTAATTCCTTTTGAATATAGGTTTATTGAGAGGATTATTCGACTTTTAGACACAATAAATATATCTCAGAAACATTTTCAATTTTTTTTTCCAGCTTCGCGTCTTCTCGCTTCAGCTGTTACATCGGAAAGTCAAGTTTACCGCCTGTGGATTTTTCCCCCTAGATTTCACACTTCTGTACTCGGTAAGGAAATTTTAGTTGGCAACAATGACCACTGCCTTCTTGGTTTGAGTGATTCATTATTTTAAGCTGACTTGTCTACGCACAAAGCTGAATACAAGTGAATGCTAAAAGATGAGGCCAGTATTGATAATTTGTGTGAAAGCTGTGTAAACATTGATGCTTAGACCATAGTGAGCATTTAGTCTGTTGGTTTTGCTTTCTTTCTGCAATGAAATTGAATACGATGTGAAAGGATGTTGCTAGCTGAAATGTAACCCGTTTTGTCGTAGATCTGAGCTGCGTTACATAAGATTCAGATTATATACAGGGTGAGTCAAAAGTATGTCTACAATCTTTGTGTACGTGTTCCAGGATCAAAAATAAGAAAAAATGTTCCTATGAACAGGAGATCGCAAATGTTTCATTTTCGAATTAATAGGCAAAAATAACTTTCAACGAATGACCTGTTATTAAAGAGAATCCAGCTTCCAGCAAAGACTTTTAATTAAAATTTGTGCAGGAACTGTAGGCGACATACTTATTGGTCCATGCATACTTCCGGCAATTCTTAAGAAAATACTTGCCACGTCTCCCTGAAGATGTACCACTGAATACAAGAAGAAAAATGAGGTTTATGGACGACGGTGTCCCAGTACACTTCTCCCATCTATAATTACTGTGTTCGGAATACATAAAATGTGGCTATTATATTAGGATTCCTGTATTTTAAGTTCTTTTTTTTAGATTGGATCAATTTTGATTATATACGAGATGGTTCAATGTAACATATAAGTCAGCTGGAAGCAAGCATATTCATTGCTGGAAAGGTAGCAATTGACAGATACGTTTAATTTGTGGGTTGGCATTAAATTACACGTCGGGCGGGCTGCCTGTGTTTTCCGCAGGACCTCCAGTAAGATGCAAAATTGCCCTTAGACCAATGTCCTTGAAGGCACATTCGTCAGTTACACACAGAGACGAACATGAATAAAATTTAAACCATTTTGCAGATTGTTGGTGCTGTTACGACGTACCTGGTGATATTGATACAATTCCAATTATCGCTGGTTAAATCTGACCACAGCAAGACATCCATAGTTCCACCACACTGGATGGGGACTACTACGCCCACTGTATTCGTGACGACAGTGCCGCCATAGTTTCACGATTTGAAATTATTTATTTTCAACTGAATTAGCACAGAGACGTGGACGGATTGTAGTGAAATTGTACTCTACCGTCTTAATAGCCAAACTAACTCCGTGGCGCAGAGCATTGCTTGCATAGGTGAGTTACTTAATCGGCCAAGACATTTTATGATTCGATGTAATCTCAAAGTTCACTCTTATCTTCACTATATCCTGAACAAACTGAGTTATTCTCTTGTCACTCAATCATTTGCTGCAAAATAAATATGTATCTGTTATTATTATTGTTATCATTGCCCTTGTGTTCATCATTCAATCAGTGTTTATGTCTGCCAACGTTATTCATCCTCAAGATCCCCCCCCCCTTCGGCAAACCTGGAAATCCAAACACCTGCACGTCACGTGACACATCATTCCCTAACCCTACTTTTGACTGTCTCGCCCGTCCTTCACACTAACCTGACTCCGCACTAGTACCAACATCGTAACTAAAATACCAATTTTTTCCCCAATCATGATGAATAATTTATTACGTGTATTTGTTAACTGACACATAAAGGTTAGTCCACTACGAAAAAAACTCCACCTCGCTCTGATCTACATTAATTCAAGATCAAAACCTGTTTGCTTAAGATCGCTTTCCATATTCATCTCCTATTTGCGTTACGGTTTTTCTAACCCAGTCGGAGATTACAGTCAGAGTTCCGTTTGATGTCATTAAGTTTCTTGAAGATCGACAAGTTTCCTGTTTCACTAATACAAATGTAATATGTACTAGTATATGAGATGAAGTAATTACATAATCCTTGTTATCAATTATCGACGCATTGAGAAACTAACGACGGTTTAGAATGTCTGTTTGTAATATTGACGTCCAAAAGAACATATAATGATTGAGTAAACCTAGTCCATTTGCAAATTGTAAGTTCCAACAAATAATTTTGCGTGCAAAGAAGAGATTTCTGAAAACATTGGAGTCTCTTCCTGTACAATCGGGCGTGTTCCTTATTTTCTGTCAGGATATTCGGGTCTGCACCAATAAAGTCTGTCTCTAGTTATTGAGGTTATGGGTCTAGAAACCTATGTTCCTGTCTTGCGCAAAACAATTTGTGAAAGCGTCAACCATGATGGCGCTTGGGGCGTGGGGAGAGAGGTATAGTTCCTACTCATTCTCAACTTCGGCATTAGATGGGGGTGAGTGGTCAGCCTCACGCCCCGGCCGCATTTTATGCATTGGACGGGAGGCTGGGTGGACCCCAGAGCCTAGAGGAAGAATCTTATGCCCTTATTGGGGATCGTAGTTACTATACTGACTGAGCTATCTACCCTGGCTTCTGAAAACAGTTTGAGCCTTTATATTTATCAACTACCACCAAACACACTTTTTCCGTGAAGATGGAGCAAAAATTTCGACAACATCTGAGTCTGAAAATGATTCATAGTAGCCCTTGAATTACCAAAGGCTCGCCAATGACCTTGAATCACATTAGTGCAACAATGACGTAAGCGATGCTGTATGAAGAAAACTTTTGGGAGGTTAAGAAGACGAAGAAATGTTGCCATCGGATAATAATCCCTATTACAGACTGAGGGGCTAACTGTGAGTGATGTTGACGACCTACCACAACACGAAGGTGGCAGCACAGTCAGCTAGCTGCTATCGTGAGGTAATCGTAGATCGATATTTTGTATTTTGTTTTCTGTGGCTTGGCAGGCTTGCAGAATGATGGTGGGGATGTACATGAGAAGGAAGGAGCCAGTTTAATTTTTAAAATGAACCATGATTTAAATATTTGTTGTAATACTGTATAAAATTATTGATCTTCTGAAATAAGATTTACGTGCATTCATGTAACGAACTCTGATTTCTCATAGTAAGTGTTGACAAACTTTTAAATTATATTCGTTGTATGTTAGTAGATTATATAATGTTTATCTAAGAGCTCTTAATTGCTACTACTTTGCCTTGTTTCAGAATGAAGGTTACAGAAGAAACCAAATATCCAAGTTCCTTGTGAATATGCTAGCGTTATACACGAGTTCACGTTCCTTATTAATGCAGAATGCAAGCCATGTTCCTGTAAAATGGTTGGCAGTAGTGTCAAATATACGTAGTTGTGTGTGCTCAAGGACGTTAACAGCACACAGGCTGGAAGAAAGTGATAATGACAGAATTTTAAATTCTAAAAAATTCCATGGACAGAAACGCAGTTCTGTTTTAAAGCCACATTTTTGGTTTGTGTCTCATAGTATTCACAGCAGTTCCTCTAAGGATGGCAGTCACAAAGTCGAAGTCAACAGGAAAGTGGGAACACTTGCGGCAATGTTCGTCAATAATTCAGCTTCAGCCTTGCAGCCATATATGAAATTAATGAGGATTGATAAACCAATAGGTACAAATAGTTTTGTGTATTTTAGGTAATTGATGGATGTTCAGGTTGGGAGTTTGTGACTAGACCCTGTAACATTTAAAAATACTTCTGAAGTGTCACAACAGTATAAATGTTCATGAGCATCTTTAGTCATGAATAAATATTCTGGCAGTAGGGACCATAACTTTTAAAAAAATTATGCTGAATTAAAACGGTAATGTGGTGTCATCATCGGCAGGATTTTGAGGTTTGCACAGTGATTAGTCAGAAGACAGCCATCTCCGGTATTATCACTGTTGAGGCAGCACCTTTCTGCCACTACCGATATCTTGTATAACTGAAAATTTGTACAGGCGAGAGCTGTGAATGCACTAGTTAATCATATTCTTTATACAAAACTTGTAGTGGTGCACCCTGGGCAACGTCTCTGATGGCAAAGTGGTCTACAAACTTGGCAAAAATGGGTCAAAGATGAAATTTTATGTACCTACCATTTGACATAGATAAATAAACTTGTGTGAGAGTGAGGTTCACACAGCAGTGAGTCTGAAGATGGCTGTCTTCTGGGTTGTTGCGCTGTGTAGTCTGGTACAAGTTTGTCATCGTTTCAGAGGTCCTTGCTGCCTCCATCACAGTTTCTAGTGAGTTTTGATGCTTCATCTCCATCTAAAGATGGAGGCAGTACATTCCTGTAAGAATCTTGGTATTCACCTACAAGAGTAGACTACATCATACATAGATGAAGACAGTTTATACCAACAAGGAGATTGCATGAAAATTTGGGGTTATGTTTCAATAAAATAGGGAGACCAGCCTTTGCTTAGTTCATTGTAGTCTGATTTGCTTTTCTGGATGATGGTTGTTACCATAAACTTATCATTCTTCGCAGATAAGGCTTGTGAGTGTTTGAAACATCATTGTATCAATCGGTTGCAGGTTCCTGGCTGCTGTTTTGGCCGTGCGGCTGGAGTATAGCGTTGAGCGCTGCCCCATCATCTCTGCCTGATCTCAAGATGTTAGCACTCTTCGGTTTGGGAGCATTCATCATGAGAGGTGCTGGTTGCACTATTAACGACATGTGGGACAAAGATATCGATGAGAAGGTAATGATGCGCTCGCTCAGCCGTAGTGTGACGCTACCTTTTGTACTGTTCTATTATTGGATTTGAGTATGAACTGGCGTAGCTCAGTCAGTATAGCGACTAGCTACGGGCTGGACGACCGTGGTTCGATCCCCGACGGGGGCAGAGGATTTTTCCTGTAGCCTCTGCGTCCAGACCGGCTCTGGGGCCCACCCAGCCTCCTCTGCAATGGGTACCGGGGTCCTTTCCTGGATGTAAAGCACGGCCGGAGGGTGTGACGCTGACCACTCACCCCCATCCAGTGTCGAGGTCAGGAATCAGTAGGAGCTATACCTCCCCCCCCCAAATGCCTACATGGCGTATAGTGGGACAGCTTTACCTTTTTTTTTTTTATTGTATTTGGGCAGGTGTCTCGAACAAGAGAACGACCTCTAGTCAGTGGTGCCATCTCTCAGTTTGAAGCTTTGGTGTTCCTGTCTGGTCAGTTGGGGCTTGGGTTGCTCGTGCTTCTCCAATTAAACTGGTACAGCATTCTTCTAGGAGCCAGTTCCTTGGGTATGTATCGACGTTCAAGCTTGTGACGTTTCCTTCCTCGTCACTTTCGTGTCAACCTGTTCTGAACATTCATTAGTTTCTGTCCGAGCACGCCCTGGTCTTAGGTCGTACGGGGACCAGTGGTGTCGGTCTCTGCCTGGCGGTTGCACTCTTCACGTCGTTTCAATTTATTTTTGTCGAAAATGGGGTTTCCTTTCTGGATTAGAAACTGGAGTGGTGCCGCATGGTGATTAATCCTTTTGTTACTTGTCTCTATTAATCTGTATACTCCTTTTCAATTCATAGTTTGAGAGTAAACAATTTTCTTATAAAGGGTTGCGGAACTGTGTACATATCAAGCTTAGCAGTTAAATAACCAAACTAGCTTCTTGTGCAGCATCTGGTAACATTGGTTACTTGGTGCATGTTGGATCATGTGAACACTTTTAAACAGTTATAATAGTTCACTTTATGTGATTAACACAAATGTTTAGTTGGTGCAGGGTTCCATCTGTTTATTTGTCACAAATGAGAAGAAATCGTTTCAGCGTTGACTGCTGGAAGAAGTTATTCTTTTGGGAAAGGTAGAGGATGTGCTGTGACCCAGAAACGAAACGCCACTCTCGATCGGAACAGACCAGAGTCCTAAATTTTATGATTGTCATAATGAAAATTAAAACCTTGCTGATCTGATTTGTTCGTGTCAAAGGAATTACCCAGTAAAAATACTTTAAATTTTGTAATGTTTGTGGCAGGGCATTTGTTGAAAATGACAAAGAGGATTTTGTGTCGAGACGATGTGCCTTCCCACGCGATATTTTAAGTGAAATGAGTCTTAGCCAGGAAGGAACAAATATCCTAATTGTAATATTCGACTGGTTTGACTGCTTTTATGTTTCCGAAACTAAAATCCTGTTTGAAAGAGTTTAATTTTGAATCACTTGAGGAAATTCAGAACCGTGCGCTGACAGTTCTGAAATAACTTGCAGAAAATGAGGTCCGAGCATGGCAGAGACATTGGAATGCATGTGTAAACTCAGAATATGACCACGTTTATTAAATTTTAATGACTTAATGTTTACTTGCTTTTTGCGGAATAAGTCCATTTATTTAATTGTCAGGTGTGTGGGAAATGTAACTTCAGTTTTAGGTACAAGAACATGGCAAGGATTACACAGGATACATATACAAGAATATTCCTTTTAGAGCTTATATACCTTTGGAATCATTATATATATCCGGTTTAACAATGTTTATACATTTTTCCGGTGCCCAAGGTTACTATAATCTCTTGGGTTTTTAAACATTGTTTTTTTCCCCGATGAATGGGGAGTTGGCCCATTGCATCAATCCCCAATTTTTCAAGGTTTTCTTTCTTTAGCCTTCGATAATCCAATATCTCACGGTTTTTCCCTTTAGCCTCTGCGCCCAGCCCGGCTCTGGGGCCCACCCAGCCTCCTCTGCAATGGGTACCGGGGTCCTTTCCTGGATGTAAAGCACGGCCGGAGGGTGTGACGCTGACCACTCACCCCCATCCAGTGTCGAGGTCAGGAATCAGTAGGAGCTATACCTCCCCCCCCCAAATGCCTACATGGCGTATAGTGGGACAGCTTTACCTTTTTTTTTTTTATTGTATTTGGGCAGGTGTCTCGAACAAGAGAACGACCTCTAGTCAGTGGTGCCATCTCTCAGTTTGAAGCTTTGGTGTTCCTGTCTGGTCAGTTGGGGCTTGGGTTGCTCGTGCTTCTCCAATTAAACTGGTACAGCATTCTTCTAGGAGCCAGTTCCTTGGGTATGTATCGACGTTCAAGCTTGTGACGTTTCCTTCCTCGTCACTTTCGTGTCAACCTGTTCTGAACATTCATTAGTTTCTGTCCGAGCACGCCCTGGTCTTAGGTCGTACGGGGACCAGTGGTGTCGGTCTCTGCCTGGCGGTTGCACTCTTCACGTCGTTTCAATTTATTTTTGTCGAAAATGGGGTTTCCTTTCTGGATTAGAAACTGGAGTGGTGCCGCATGGTGATTAATCCTTTTGTTACTTGTCTCTATTAATCTGTATACTCCTTTTCAATTCATAGTTTGAGAGTAAACAATTTTCTTATAAAGGGTTGCGGAACTGTGTACATATCAAGCTTAGCAGTTAAATAACCAAACTAGCTTCTTGTGCAGCATCTGGTAACATTGGTTACTTGGTGCATGTTGGATCATGTGAACACTTTTAAACAGTTATAATAGTTCACTTTATGTGATTAACACAAATGTTTAGTTGGTGCAGGGTTCCATCTGTTTATTTGTCACAAATGAGAAGAAATCGTTTCAGCGTTGACTGCTGGAAGAAGTTATTCTTTTGGGAAAGGTAGAGGATGTGCTGTGACCCAGAAACGAAACGCCACTCTCGATCGGAACAGACCAGAGTCCTAAATTTTATGATTGTCATAATGAAAATTAAAACCTTGCTGATCTGATTTGTTCGTGTCAAAGGAATTACCCAGTAAAAATACTTTAAATTTTGTAATGTTTGTGGCAGGGCATTTGTTGAAAATGACAAAGAGGATTTTGTGTCGAGACGATGTGCCTTCCCACGCGATATTTTAAGTGAAATGAGTCTTAGCCAGGAAGGAACAAATATCCTAATTGTAATATTCGACTGGTTTGACTGCTTTTATGTTTCCGAAACTAAAATCCTGTTTGAAAGAGTTTAATTTTGAATCACTTGAGGAAATTCAGAACCGTGCGCTGACAGTTCTGAAATAACTTGCAGAAAATGAGGTCCGAGCATGGCAGAGACATTGGAATGCATGTGTAAACTCAGAATATGACCACGTTTATTAAATTTTAATGACTTAATGTTTACTTGCTTTTTGCGGAATAAGTCCATTTATTTAATTGTCAGGTGTGTGGGAAATGTAACTTCAGTTTTAGGTACAAGAACATGGCAAGGATTACACAGGATACATATACAAGAATATTCCTTTTAGAGCTTATATACCTTTGGAATCATTATATATATCCGGTTTAACAATGTTTATACATTTTTCCGGTGCCCAAGGTTACTATAATCTCTTGGGTTTTTAAACATTGTTTTTTTCCCCGATGAATGGGGAGTTGGCCCATTGCATCAATCCCCAATTTTTCAAGGTTTTCTTTCTTTAGCCTTCGATAATCCAATATCTCACTACAAGGCAGTAGTTGCTACTTTTGGTCTGCCCCAGGTATTTTATTTCCCCGGTACTCACCATATCTGGTGAGCGTTCCCCTATACGCACACCTGGGGAGGTGCCCGATGGGAGAGTAGCAACTCCACACAGGTGGAATCATTATAGAAGTGTACAATTTTGAGAGGTGTGCACAGAAGATTTTGATGTCATGAATACAACGATGCCGGAACACGTCTACGCTACACTGTGTGACTGTAGTTTTCGGGTCAGCCGTCCACTGTACAGTTTGGTGTAGGCCCCAGGTGACTTCAATTTCCAGTCACCAAGAGGAATAAGTTTTCCAGCAATGAATTCATGGCACCTTTTCAGAAAATTACAAATAACATGTTACAGTGAAACCTCTATCCATCGTTCCCCGAACTATCGTTTTCCCGGATGCATCGTCCGTTTTGTTCGGTCCCGGATACATCCCATATAAAATAATGTTACATTTTCCCGCTTCTATCGTTTCCTCGAACTATCGTTCGGACTGGTATAGAGTTCTCTGTTCAGGTGCCTATAATATGTGCCTTCCTGCCAAACCACTGATCTCTTGAAACTGCAAACAAAGGTTGGATTTACCAAATGTCAATTTGATCTGCGAAATACAGAAAAGTAATTAACTGTTCCTGCCAGGAGCCGCTGTGCCTTTTCGCCACATTTAAATGTTACCATCGACCGTATTCCAAGTAGTCACTCGCCCCTAGTTGTGTGGGGCTGTTTTAAGTTCAAGATGTCATCTTTTTCACCACTGTATGTGATATCTTAGTAGACCTGAGAGATTTTGCCTGCCATGCGCCACCAGAGGTTCGTTGGGTGGTCACTCTTATATTGTGACGTAATTTCAAGTTTTTTGTGAGCAATTCACATATTTCGTGGTGTGTAGCTCTTCTAGATGAACCCTTTATCGTTCTACGAACACGTGATTCAGCTAGAAAACGTGTGAATTACCATAGCAGCTGTTGTTCCTATAAACCCACTATTACTACTACACATTTCTCGTATTTAGTCTGTAGCAACTCACATTACAGTTGTATTTTAAAAATGTGACAAAATATTCCTCTGGAAATATATAAAATAATTGACCTTGTAACCTTTTTTGTTGGATGTGACTAGACAGAATAGAAGCTTCATACAAGAATACCAAGCAGAAAAGTGTCATCTGTGTAACATTATAACAATATGTAAAAGAGTGTTCTACATACCAAATGTGATAACGTCCACTCCGAATTATATCCTATAGCTCAGGTACCCAAAATGTATATTATTTTCATGTCCTGTGATTTTTTTCAGGTCTAGTCATAATTTACCCTCTTATGAAGCGGGTTACTCACTGGCCGCAGCTTGTATTGGGAATGGCATTCAACTGGGGAGTGCTTCTGGGCTGGTCCGCAGTGAACGGTTCCTGCAATTGGTCTGTGTGCCTGCCACTGTATTCAGCTGGAATATGCTGGACGATTGTGTATGACACGATTTACGCACATCAGGTGAATATAATTGAAGAGTGTAATTCCAAAACATGCCCAGTCCGTTCGTTGCATTTTTAAACCAAGTGCAGTTATTGTTAATTACGTAAGTTATTTTTAAAATACTCTGTTTTCCGAAAACTTTGTTAAAGGTTCAGAGTATGTTTTGGAACCACGCGTTTCACTTGCTGATATAAAAATCGGTGTAGGACCATGTTTCTTCCCAGTCCCAAAGCTTTGGTGGAAATGCCAGCGCCATCTAGGACTGAACTTATTTCCTTTTACTTCCAAAGCTCTGCTGTTTTGTATCCCACAGGCATTGTGTCCGATTAATTTTATTTGAGGATAAATATCCTGGTAAGGTAGGTTGGTCCACATCCTGACAAGGGTATTCAACAAGGTTAACATCGACCAGACTACACAGCGCAACAACCCAGAAGACAGAAATCTTCATACTCTGATGACGGAGGCAGTATGACCTCTGAAACGTTGGTTAACATCGACCAGACTACACAGCGCAACAACCCAGAAGACAGAAATCTTCAAGGGTATTTAAAGTGGACTCTCAATTTTTTCTTACCATACCTGCTATGATTTTCTTGAATCATCTTTCTGTAATAATCTCTTTCATCTTCCTCACTGGGCTCATTTGCATGCTGAACACCTACCACATCTAACCCATAATCACCATATCGTAATCATATCTGAAGTTGATGTGTCTGTTATGTTCATCAAAACGGTTCTTCCCATTCTAGGTTTATATATTTCTTAGTTTTGAGGCCAAACCCCTGCCTCTCCTGCATGCTTCTATCCTGTGTCTCTCGTGCGATCCTACAGTTTTGGCTTCCAATTTGTGTCACTCTATCGAGAACTCATAAATGAAAGTCGATTGCCACATTTGACTTGAGTTGCATATTGTGTTATATGTAACAGCTTCTTCTTTGCTTCTAGGTTTATAGACGCAGAGGCATAGGTAAAGGATCCATAGTATAGCTGTGAACAAATGAGGCAGTGTTAAATCGTTGTCCGCAGTCGACTACGTGTTATTCCCATGTCAGGTGGCTGTCTAAAATCATTCCTAGAAATTCAACAATCTTTACAAATGACAGAGGACTGCTGTCCTTAAAATGGTTGTGGTGAGGAAATACATCCTGGAGTCTGAGTAAATGGGAGGATGTGGTCTTTGTGACTGAAAATTTATAGTCATTATTGAGCGGAGTGAAGAGTCTATGCAGAATCAGGTGAACTTGAACTTGCCACTTGCCAGTAGACTCCACTGTGCTGCAAAATTAATCGCTCTTTAAGAAGCGCACATCCTGCCAAGCAGTGCATCTGCCCTCTCTCCAAGGCCAAAGGCAATCTGTCAAGCTAGTATGATATTCAATGAGCTCTTTGATGCACATCATATTGCCACCCCTCACCCCATCAAAATCCCCACTAGACCACCATGGGCCGTAGTTGGTTCCCACTGCGACTCTTGTGTCTTGTCTTTCTCAAGGCATGTACATCTCCGTTCGCCCTCCACAGACCGCGTGCGGAGATGTCCACACACTATCCACTTCATGCAGTTGTTTTTACAGGTGGGTCTATTTTGAATGGATTGACAGATTGTACATTTATGTAAATGGAAATACTTTTAAATTTCGACTAAACTCCTTCAGTTTAATTTTTTACTGCCAACTTCGTAGCACTCTGCAGGGAATTTGAAGCTGTGGGAACCTCCCACCAGGAATGTTTGTACTATTTACGTCTTGTGCACTGAAATTTACAACTGGAAGATGGGTTTAATTGATGCATGTATTGTGGCGGTGAAGAGCTACAATATTTCTTACGGAACTTGGAAGTGGGCAAAGGAACTGTTTGTTCGCCCGCATTGTCAGCGTAACCGTTGTGAATGCCTTCGTAGTCTGTAACTCGTATGATGATGGACCGAACTGTGAAGTGTTTTGAGAACACCTTGTAAGAGATTTCATTTGTGCTGCGCAGGATGTCAGACTACACTGCGCAACAACCAAGAAGACAGCCATCTTCAGACTCACCGCCATTAAGACCTCAAATCCTATTTGGACTGAAAAAAGTGAGGAAATATGCACGCAGTGCGTAACACCTTGCTCTTCACTCCACGCTAAGAAATTTCGAGTAATTTTGTCCCATCAGTATTAAACATGCGCAAATAGCTTTAGACATTGCCAATCGCACTCATCAGATCATTAGAAGGCAGGTAATTTCTTGAACAGCTTGGTGGTTATTAGGTTCTGAAGAGGAACTCCGCTCATTAGAGCGAGAGTGTCAGGAAATGTTTTCGTGCATGACCTGTCGTCATTGTGATTTTGACCTGTTCTAGGATAAGGCAGAAGACGTACTTCTCGGGATCAAGTCAACAGCAATTAAGTTTGGAGAAAAGACTAAACTGTGGTTATCAGGGTTCGGTGCCACGATGATTTCCGGCCTGGTCGCTACAGGAGTGCAATGTGATCAAACGTGGCCGTACTATACGTCTGTTGGACTTGTTGCTGCGCACCTTGCCACTCAGGTAAGCGACTGACTCTGTTCTGTATATTTGTGAAGTAACTTCCCGCAACTACAGGGCGTTCCATAGTACAGGGGATGCAGCATAACTCTGAGCTTTGTTGGTCATTACAAACATGTGAGAGGAGGGGAATATCCTGAAGTGGTAGCACATATGGAAAGATAACCCAATACTTCCTTGTTCAATCGGACATGAAAATGTTACGTTTAGGCCGTGTAGGTTAAGGCATTTGCCTGCTGGCATTGCCAGTGTTTTATAGTTCCTTTTTTCACAAAGTACAATGTATTGTAAGGGTCAGTGTATCAAAATGCTACTGACTATTGAAATTAAAAGGGGAAAAATGTTTTTAGTTATACTATACAAGCTCTTATTGTGACATAGCCCCAACTTGGAATTATTTTGCATCAACTGTATCAAAATGTAATATAATACAATATATGTGTCATTTTATATGTAAATATGATGAAAGTCTTAGTCCCGCGCCGTAGCTGCGCGGTCTGAGGCATCATGCTTTGGACTGGCGATACGGAATGCTCGCTGGTTCGAGTCTCGGGGGAGGAGAAATTTTCTCATGAGCTTTCGACCGGTGCCAACCCAGCATCGTGAGGAAATTGGGGAGCTACAATGAGTAGCGTAATCCGATCAGGAAAGCTAGCAATGGCTGGGGGTTCGTCATGCTGACCACACGTCACCCTGTATCTGGTTGGATGATCGTTCACCTCTGCATGTGAACGTGAGGCCAGCAGTCAAGCTAGTCGGCTTTGGCTCTCTGGAGCCGTTACGCCACAGATTTTTTTTTTTATGATGAAAGTCTTGGATCATAATGGCATGCATCAATAGTCTTGGTATGAGTGCCATTTGTTGGTCTGCAGACATCCAAATAAAATTCAGTTTTGGTCCAAGTATGGTGAGACATGTCTGATGTGACTGTCAGTACTGCTGTAACAATCCTCTCTCATGTGTCTAATCGTGGATTTTCTTGGCGTTGACAATTATTTTCACATAACCCCACATAAAGATATCCAGGTTGTTATTGGTCCTTGTCTTTATGTTCGGTAATTAATAAATTGATTGTTCATGGCACATTGAACTTGAAGTCTGAAATGTGCTGGGGTCCCATCTTGTTGGAGGATAAGTCTTTCTAATATAAAGATAAAGGTAACCAGTAATGGTCTCTTCTCCAAAAAGGAATGGTTATGTCACATTCCATGTAGTTCTTCGCTCGCACATTTTCACTTTTGAGGTGTTACGCACATTGACAAAATTCATGTCGCTTGTCAGCAATGAGATTTGGACCTTATGTCCACTCCATCCTCGTACTGAATGAGTTATGATCCACCTCATTTTTCCACATCAAATAAATCACCTTTCTTTTGATGTATAATGTACAATCTGTCTTTGTATGCAATGAGATAGCAGTCTTACAACTTGGCGTCTTCACCGAGATTCATTCTTCCTAATTTTACTATTTAAATTAAAGTAAATTCTGATCCTTGTATTATGATTTAATCTTTTAACGAATGGGTATATCTAACCACATTTTTACAGTTTCATTCTAAAATACTGTCTTTCTTTTTATTTAAGACTTTTCTGATTGTCCCACACATTGTTTCATTTTGTTGATGTCAGATGTACTTCACACACTATAAACAGCAAAAAATACCTTGTGCACTTGTCAACATCTGTCTGCCTCATGTTTTCCCTAGGAATTAGGCAACGTCCATGACAGGTTCACTGTAGAAACAGTGGGAACCGAATTTACAGATAATACATCTTTATGTTATGTTTATGAGCCGGCGTAGCTCAGTCAGTATAGAGACTAGCTATGGCCTGGACGACGGACGACTGGGGTTTGATCCCTGACGGGGGCAGAGGATTTTTCCTCTAGCCCCTGCGTCCAGACTGGCTCTGGGGCCTACCCAGCCTCCTGTCCAATGGGTAATGAGGTCCTTTCCTGGGGGTAAAGCAAGGCTGAGACATGATGCTGACCACTCACCCCATCTAGTGCTGAGGTCAAGAATGAGTAGGAGCTATACCTTCTCTCCTCCCAAGTGACTACATGGTGTTTAGTGGGACAGCTTTAATTTTTTACATTTTTATGTATGTTATTTTTCTTTTCAGCTATATACTCTGAATATTAACAACCCAGTGGACTGTTCCAGCAAGTTTGTGTCCAATCAAAGAGTAGGTCTGCTTCTCTTCGGAGGAATAGTAGTGGGTACATTGTTCAAGTCTATGGAGAATGATAGTGAAGAAAGAAGGGTAATGGAATGTAAAAGATAGCTATAATCATAGACCATGTATGTGTTTGAAGTGCAAGAACCTGTACAGTATGGCCAACTGATCTAAAACCCCATAAATATTTGAATTATGAGTCGTCATTTCATTTCTAGCCCCCTCAGAAAAATCTGCTCTTCTTCTGCTAAATAAGTCTCTCTCTCTCATCTGTTTCGTCTATCAAGGTCATTTGGCAAAAAAGTGTAATGAAGACGGGTCACAAAAATGTGTAAGATCAATATCAACAAATCGACAACAATGGTTACCTAGGAAACGTCATCTTTTTACTCGGCATTGTTGTTACCTAGGAAACATCATTTGTTTACTCGGCATACAATGAAAGGAAGGGGGTTAAAACACTTGAGTAAGACACTAAACTAACCCCCCCAAATGGGGGGTTGAAACACTTTACCACCCCCCCCAATCTTGAGTAAGACACTAAACTAACCCCCCCAAATGGGGGGTTGAAACACTTTACCACCCCCCCCAATAATAATGAAAAATATCACAAAAACAGATTAACTAAACTTATATATGTACAGTATTAAATATAACAGCCAAATACAGGCGAGCCCAAAATTTAAACAATATTGTACCAAAAGAAAAATAAATGAAATATGAATAAAAACAAATAATCCATCTAGGGAACACTAATATAAATGTAAAACGTTTCTTTAAGTGCTTCTGCAGTGTGCGGATAAATTGTGAACGTTATGTAAATTTAATAGTTAGATCCTTTTTCCAAGAAATGACCGATGAAGAAAAGACTTACGGTTTCTTCATGCAAGACAATGCTACAGCTCACACAGCTGCTCGGTCGATGTTAGCATTAAGAGAAGTGTTTGGTGAACAAGTTATCGATCAGTGGCCTCCGCGTTCCCCAGACTTAAACCCGTGCGATTTTTACCTGTGGGCTTGCTGAAGAACAAAGTTTATGTAAACAATCTGCACACTGCAGAAGCACTTAGAGAAAATATTCGTCAATTTCCCAAGAAGAGCTTCGTCGAGTATTTCGAAACATGTTAACGAGATGTGAAGTTGCCTGCAAGCACAAGTAAGTCACTTTGAACATCTTTTGTGATTGCAGATGTAGTGAACGTTGCAGAGTCTGCCGCAATATGAACGCAGTGATATACGTCATATCGAAGTTTACTGCTTTGGGCAGGACTGTACTTACTTCTGTGAAGAGTATGGGCAGTGACTTAAACTGTAGTGAAAAAATATAGACTGAAATAAGTAACAGTGTTTTATTCGTTTGTACCATAAATTACAGTTAAAAAGTTTGTTCACGCCTAATCATACAATGTCGATTGTTTCTCCAGTATCTCATTATACTCCTCCACTGTTAACAATTTCTGTTTCTGTTGATTACTATTGTTAATTCCAGGTAACACGATTGCTACGTAACCTTCCGCATCAGGTTTTTCAATCAGTAACTTTGGATTCTCTATCAATGCGTCATTAATTTCCACCAGTTTTCCTTGTATGCAACTTCGTACTGTGTATGTTGAGCCATCCAAACATTCAATGTAACAAAGTGGAGAATTTGGATGCAGAAATTGCGCTCCATGCTTGCCTTTCCCAGAAACCTTGTTCTTCAGTCTGTCGACATTAGCAGAGACTTGAAAATTAATTTTACCTATATCTTTCTTCTCTTTGAGTATGGGGTGGGACGCTGCTAATGTTATCAAGCATATCCTGTTGGAGTGAAACAGAACGAGGTGGTCTTCGCCCTTTCCTCGTTCGTCAACGCAATACCTTGGAGTATAGTACCGCTGGGTAACCGACTGAAACATATCAAACCCTTCTATGCTGTCCTCGATGGGAATGGTGCTTATGTTGTGAGCCTCTGCCATGTTTGAATACTGATAATGCATTAATCAGTACGTGAAACTCTGGCTTTTTCCTGCAACTGTTGAGACTTTAGTTGATTTGCCTTCCTGTTCTGTTCTCTCTGAAATATAATAAATCAAAAGTGGAGAAGGTGAAACACTTTTTTAAAAATAATATATATTGGATACAAGAAACATATATATAATGTCTGCCAAATGTTCACTTCTGTTTAAAACTAGTATGAAACTATAGTTCATATTTCCTAATTGTAAAATTCCACTTTTACTTTAATTATAGAAGGACTCTTTCAATACAGATATGAGCTCAGTCGCTATTGCACCCTTTTAAACCGCCAGTGTACAATTCAGCTAGACTGAGTTATAGTAACGGATGCGTAAGCTTGCGGCCGGTTGACTCGCCGCAGGTATCTAAAAGGTTAATGTGCTTTATATATTGTTCCCATGGCAAGAAATTGGATCCACATTAAATTAAAAATTATTTAACACACAAGGAATTATTTATGGACTGTTCTGCATAAGTTATTGTAGGTACTGCGATGGTAATGGTGTTAACCTTTTATCATACGGGACTGGGGGATCCTAATACCCACATTCTCCGCTGTCAGCCAGACTTTAGCTGTGGGTCTAGTGGTACGCTAATGTGAAGTGAGTCAACTGAACCACAATCGACAGAGATGATAAAGGTTAAGGGAAATTTGGGTTTATGGTTGCATTAAGGACCGTGAAACCACTGCACCTACGTATGGCAAAGATTGTCATGATCGTACAGTTTTTTCAGTGTGTAATTCTTGATAGTTATTGTGTTCAACATCTAAGTTCATTAATTTATTCAGGAGGGAGGAGACCATCAGATGATGTTCGCAGTAGTATCACATGCCTGGCGGCGCATACATGTTTACAGAAACTGTAGGACAATCAAATACTAATGCCTTTAGATCTTTATTCATGGGAAAAGGAAAAACTCCAAATCTGTGAATCTACAGTTACGATTATAGCCTATACAAGGCACCTGAAATTGTCATTCAATCATCCCCGTCACTGAGATTTCTTTGGTGCTGAAAAGAATTCTCTCTGGGCCAAATGAATATTTCATCAATTGACAGTTCCAGAAAAAAATCCCTTCTGCACAGTTAATGGTTATGTTGATGCAGTTTATGAAAGATACAAGTGGCTCCAGTATGCAATTGCAAAATTTTTAAAGAACTGGACAAATTCACAACTGTTTAAAACATCCATGTAGACCGTCAGCAACTATCACATACCATATTAAACCACTTTGACAAGATAAACTAACTCTTACAGTGAACCACATTGTGCATTTGCCTACTCCTATGTCTGACATCACAACAACTTACAAATTGACCTTGGCAGAAAGTAATCTTGCATCAAAGCAGCTAAAGCTATTTTAGTATTAATGATAATAAAATTCAACAACAAAAGTCAAAAATCCCATAATATGAATGCACATAACCTGTAAGTCATGTGGTTAAAAAATGACGACTTTTTTAACTTTGTGGGATCCAATAGGACACCCAAAAACCGATTTCTTTTCCCCACAGAATCAATACTTACAAAAAATTGGCAAAGAAAACAGACCGGCGTTTCCCAATACAGATTTATTGATCATACCGTAATTCGATATAACAAGTTCCTGAATACGTCCTGGTGAGCACGCCATTTCAGGCAAAAAAAAAGCATATACCAACATTAACAACATGAATTCTGCAGTGTGAAAACTTCTCACCTCTTTTCGCAAACATTTTATAACCTCCCTGTCTGCATCATTGCAATAGCCCAGGAATCTCCGGAAAGAGTTCTGGAAAAGATATTCGTTGCTATTGAATAAATACTATGAAGTGCCTTTATATAAATTGGGTCCTTAGACTTGAATATTCATACCTCTTTATGACAAGATTTAAGCAAAGAAATTAATTTATTACATTCTTCTGTGTGTAAATGCTGTGAAAGATCAGTATGCATAATATAATGTAGTTTCCAAATAACACACGCAATCTTCCTTTGCTCCTCTTTATCGTCTACTTTTTTTCAACATTTACATTGACCATTGATACCAACAGCATGTACCAAAAGAGTGACTTCGTAGTAATACGAACTATGGCTTTTCTTTCTGTATGGTTGGTTTAACTGGTGCGAATTGCTTGGTCTGTGGAAAATTCTCGTTGTGTGTAATGTGTTTGTGGATGCGTCGGCATTATTACGTTTTTTGATTGCTGCGTCACTTTCGGAGATTTGGAACGTAAATTCATACAGCTGTTTACGACTTAGATTATTTTGTGCCATCTAGTAAGTATATGTAACGTACAAATGATTCTGGTATTACACTTATAGCACTGGGAAACGACGAATGATGATTTAGAAACAAACGTGAGTTTCCACCACCTACGGTGTTGATAATTTTAAAACTTTGTTGACCAGTAAAGTACAGTAAAGTATATAAAGTGTAATTTAGAGAAGCATGTGGTTCACAACTAAAATTTGTAGTTGATGCAGTTTCCTTTTCTTGTAACTGTCCAGCTGTAATCTGTAAGCATATTTGGGTTGTTTCCCTGTCCGATTTTTCTTTGTAGAATGGCTCTGAATATTAGTCACTCACTTCCCAAAGATATTGAGGAACGAACTAAAAATGCAATTGTAAGAAATCTATAGTGTGCCACAAAAAGATACACACACCTTCTGTGATCATGGGGGGCTGACAGATCCTGCATGTCCTATCCATTGGTTGGGAAAAGTGTTGTCAAGATATGCCCAGGCATCACAATGGTAATGTGGGGATGCCCCATCTTCTTTATAACACTTGTCCTTATCTCCATACAGCTGAGGAGGGAGCAGGAACAATGGGTTCTTGAAGCATATTTAGGTAGCAGTACCAGTCATTGTCCCTTTCATAAAAGCCCCAAGAAGCTCACTGACCAATACAGAAGAGATGGGTGATGATTAATGATTGCCAAAACAAATTTTCATCACCGCTTAAGGGCATTCTATTCTCTTTTTTTAATAATTTAAAGCCGACTAATAGAATTTTCCATCATCCAAAATTTCATGTGAAGGGGCAGAAAATAGGATCAAGAACAGGTCGATGGCTGACTTTTGTTTTTGACCTGGAAGTATAATTTGATTTTATGGCCAGTGCTTTTTCAGTACTAGGGCAGAACGCTCCTTTCGGAGCTCCTCGGAGGGGTTGGTCAAGTTTTTGAAAAGCAACCAACCCCTTCGGGGGGGTTGGTTGCGTTTTAAAATCTTGTGTAAGAAACTAAACTAAACCCTCCGAATGGAGGGTTAAAACACTTGACCAACCCACTTTTGGGGGAGCTTGATCAAGTGTTTTAAAAGCAACCAACCCCTTCGGGGGGGTTGGTTCCATTTTAAAATCTTGAGTAAGACACTAAACTCGGCATTGTTGTGGAACACAACAATGCCGAGTTTGTTTATAGTTGACATTGTTGATGACATCATTCTTTGACGACAATGGGGATTCACAAATTTTTATAGTAAGATTGTTGGAATGTTCTGTCTTGCTCTCCCACTTAAAATGGAAAGAAATTACTTTGTTATAAACAATCCAGATGTAAGAATGAAGCACGGGTCCTTATTGGTTTTTACACGTATTTCTGTCACCCCCTAAGTACGTGTTTTCATTTACAAAACCGAGAGTTGCTGCACGACTGTGGCTTGTAAGAATGTATTAAGCGATTTGTAGTACATTACCAGCGTGAAGAGTTTATTTAAACGTTTAAATTTCATTATTTTGTAATTAACGGGATAGTGTACTGTAGAAGGAACAGCCTCTACTGCAGTTGCGTGTCTTGTGGACGTGGTGCACCATCCAAAGGAAAGTTAATGGGTGTCGGTGTTTCATCGGTTCAATTTGTATTTTTCAGCAGAATGGGTAGTTTTGCTTCTGCCAAACAAACGCAACAAGCAGATATTCCAACGCTGTGGCCATGAGCTCAGTGCTTCACTCTTATATCTGGAATTGCCGTAGGAACAGTGACATTTAAACATTTGTGCTAGTTGTAATTAAGATATGAGATGTCATGTACGATGGAATTCCATATTTTTGTATGATCCTTTCATTTGCACAGTGTGATCGCATGTAAATGATGGGAAAAGTACTACTTTTAAGTGGAAGAACAGCCTTTAAAATTAGTTTTGACAAGTCAATGAAAAGTTGCCATTCATCTGGAGTGTGGTTACAGATCAAGGTTGCCGTCAGATTGCTCGCATTGTCGCAAAAGCAAAGATCTCTCTGCTTGCAGAAAATTCCGTCATAAATCCTGACAGTTTTTGAAACATGACATTTTCATGACGAGTTTCTCCGCGTGTGTGCTGCGGTGCATTCAACGCGGCGGCGCCTACTTAACAGACAACTTAATATTCAAGAAGTGAAACAGTCAATAATACTTTCATTGACATAGGAACACGAAATGTGATGCGGATAAACTAATTTGTTTATTGTAAAGAGTTATTATATTTTAAGATTGCTCCATTATATTCGTGACACCTTGTGTAATAAAGAAATCTATGACAAAGACGCAGACTTATCAGGGAGATGTGAAAGAAGTCCAGATTTGTTGAACACTATAAAAGACACATGAATGTCATCTTATCAGTGCTTAGGCTGCTATACTAGTCAGAGCCCCACTTTTCTCTCAGGGTCTCAGATGCATCGATTATGAAACAGTTAAGATTTGGTACTTCATGAATTAAAACTTTTATTCCCACAGAATTAAGACATCTGAAAACATTTTAATTACATCTCTAAACTCCGAGATGCTGTCTGAAAGACTGTCGTTTTTGTTTTTGAGGAGTGGTGGTTTGTAATCTGGGTTTTGGTGCCACAGGGTACCTTAAATGTGGAGATGATGTGTTCCTCCGAAACACTGGTAATCAGTTACTGTATTATATATAATTACAATTAGCCACGGTGGTCTAGCGGTTAGAACGCTGGCCTTGTAATCCTGGGGTCGCGGGTTTGATTCCCGGCGGTGCCCGAATTTATAACTTGTGTTGGGCAAGGCCGTGGCCTAGGCAACACGGAGTTTTCCTCCGTGGCATCCCAACAATTACTCCATTCACACACAGAAGAAGGCAATGGCAAACCACTTCTGGATCATCTGCCAAGAACGTATATGAACAGGTCCCAGTCCGAGAAAAGGATGGAAGGATCCTGTTCATATGGGCCTGTCGTCACACAGAACACTAAATAATAATAAGATGTAATAACAAACCAAAGATTATAACCATTGTTTTCAGCTCTGAAACTCTCAGGTCTCATATTAAATTTGTGTTTCGTTCTCGTAGGTGTGCCATGTCGAAATTACCGTTTTCCAAGGAACATCTTGTTCAGCTGAATGGCTTTATAGACCTTTGCAGAAAAGATCCTAAAATACTACTGGATCCAGAACTTGCCTTTTTTAAGAGTTATATCGAGTCCATGGGAGGCAGAATACCAGCAGCTGTACCTGAGACGAATTTTGGGTCTCCCAAAACGAGTAGACCTGGGCCGGCAGAAGAGGAAGGACAACCAGACCCTGAAGTAGAGAGTGAAGAGAGTGATATTGAACTGGATAATTCAGGAGTCATTGGTAGTTATATTTATTTATTTTTTATGTTTCCTGTTTGGAGTAATTTATGTAACAGCAAAAAGATGTCCACTTTACAAAAAGAAAATTCTTAGATTAATGTCTGGTTACAAACCTAGAAATTACTCTTGGTGGAATCGTGGTTAGTGTGTTTGTCACTGGACCCAAGGTTCGCGGGTTCAAACCTGTCCAAGGTCAAGGGATTTTTAAGGGTGATAAAAATTCGTAGGGGAGGGGTAGTAAAGCTGGCGGTCCCATGCCGTAGATTTGAAGCAAGTAAAAGAACCTTACGAGCATGAACGAGGAGTTTTGTAAGCAAAATTCAGCGGTCATGTTTCTCACACATGTCTCTCCCGATTCTATAGCAGACAAAATTGGGAGTGAGTAGAAATTGTGCAGAGGCAGTGGTCTGGTCACTCACTACTCACAGATGCACACTTCGAAGATTAAGAAACCTCCGAAAGGAGGCGGCTGAGACCCACAGTGGGTTGTAGAGCCACAGGAAGAAGATGAACCTGTAAATTTATATAGAAGTCATTTTAAAAGATAAGAGATTTTAGGTGTTCCATGTTAATGCATTTTCTCATTATTGAACTTTATTGTAAGTAACCGAGAACATTTTTTTTAAACTGATTCTGCTGTGCACATTGCCAACATAAGGAATAAGAATCAACTCTCAACTCACCAACCTCACATGTTTCCAGGCATCAACATTTTCTACGGTTCACCATCTTGTTTCACGAGTCTTACGAATAAAAATTCACAATTTAAAGTTGCATTAAAAAGGTACTTAAATACACACTCCTTTTACTCACTTCATGAATTTCTAATGTTCGTTAAGGTTTTCTTGTCTTCATGTAATGTAAATGGACAATATAATTGATCTACTTTGTGTAATGGGTGGATTTATTTGTAACATATCACTAATTATGTGAACCCTTGGTTTATAATACGTGAAATTTAAAACAAGTATGAATTTTGCGTTTAAGTCATAATGTTTATCGTATTGTGACTTATTCCACATCCTGTTGTCATCTTATTAACTACGGGATCCATGAAATTTAATGGAGACACCTGTGTCTGATATGCATTCATAAATAATGATTTTTCTATTGTAACTATTTGTTTTGTTTCTAAACTTCGCTTGTTTCGCTTAATAAAAGCAGTGACTTAAATGTTGTGCTTTGATAACACTGTTAACTTTTCTTTTCAGTTATGAATTTGCTTTATTTAGTAAAGGGCATGTTTCAGATGCCTTGTTCTCAGATTCTGAAGTACGTAAAGATTGGAGGATTTTATAGATTCCAATCCACCATTGCACGGGTGTCTCAGTTCCGCTGTCTTATAAAGAAATTATATGAATGTATACAGGACTTTGTATGCAGTAAAAGATGGACACCCTCTTATATAGGAAAATAATATGTAAAATTTCCGAGACTCTTGCATTGCCCCAAACTTATTATTTTTTTGTTTTGTTAATATGACATTCCTGTCTGATATCTGATGTTGTTGTACTGATCTCAGCACACTAAAGTCTGAAGATTTCTGTCTTCTGGGTTGTTGAGCCGTGTAGTCTGGTCGATGTTAACCAACGTTTCAGAGGTCATACTGCCTCCGTCATCAGGGCGATGAACTCTGAAATGTCAGTAAGCTTCTACCAGACTACACGGCGCTGTGACCCAGAAGACAGCCGTCCACATCATCATCATCATGATGATTGTATGCCCATTTGCCCGTTCTGGTTCCATCAGCACCAAACTCTCTGAATGCTTCTTTGAAACTGTTGAGTGATTTCATGCTTCCATGTAATGTCTGAGTTGTAAGATCACGTTCTTAATTGCGGTTACTTGTCATAAAGTAGTGTTGTTTTTGTGTTTTGTGGTACATTAGAGTGTAACCGTGTCATTGGTTGCCCCCCCCCCTCTCCCCCACATGCCGATAGCACTACTCCCTCAGACTGCGGCTGCTTATTTCGATGGCCCCATGTTTGTATGTGGCGGTTTTTCTCTGGCAATCCACGTCTTCAAATCCTGCAATAATATTTTGGCTCTCGTAATTTTTGAATTTACGAAAACTTGCTCAGGCTCCTTAAGATTTCTGATGCTGTCTAAACAGTAAACATAACATTATCTGTATTCAAAAATTTGGTAAAAAAGATTGGGATGCAGGTAATAATACTTGATATTGGAAGTTTACTTTTACAAGGATTATTTGTCAGGAATAATTATTATTCTTGAAGTTCATGCACGCTTAGCAGGACGACGCCATTTTAGAATGCAGTCATAATTTTAGGTATGACAGCGCAGTACTCCGTCTGCGTTCACGTTTTTCAGAACCGGATTCTGATGAACCACAGCCAATGGGTGACGCTGATAAGGAGGTAGCAGAGGAAGATGTAGAAAAATCAGAAGAGAAGAAAAGGGAAGCAATTGAAGCCTTTGGCGAAGGAGAATTTAAAAAGACGATAGACATCTACACAGAAGCCATATTATTGAATCCAGGTATGATCAGTTTATTGAAGAAATCGCTGAGAATACCTCGGTATAGATGGGAGGAAAGTATTTTACGGGTTTAGGGAAATGGTGTTGGAGGGTATGGATTTGACTCGTCTGGTTGGTGGGCTTTTGTGAACATGGTGCCGAACCTTTAAGGCAGGAAATTTCTTTTAAATAGCTGTCTTCTGGTATATTGCGTCATGTGGTTCCATAGCATTTTAATGGTGTTTCAGAGGTGCTTACTGCCTCCATTGTCAGGTTGTTCCTCCTGATGATGGAGGTAGTAAACACCTTTGAAACACTGTTAAACTATTGTCAGACCATATGGTGCCGCATCTCAGAAGACAGTCATCTTCATATTCAGCACCGTGAGAACCTGAAATCTCAACGGGAAATTTCTCGACTACTTGACTGCTTCATGGAGTTGTAGATTGAGTGAGTGATTTATTGTTGTATTTTATACTACGGAATATCCTAATAATGTTTTACATCAAATCTGTCTTTTTCATGTTTTGTTCAATGTAGAATAAGTTCGAACCAGGTCAGAAAGTGTATTCCGTAGCAGAATACAAGTGATATCCTTAAGTGTTCTTTGCAGCATGCGTTTAGAGGTATTAAATTTGCCTTGTTTGATAGTTCTCACTTTGGCCACCAGATCACCACACTTTAGTGTCTATCGCGTAATAAGTAGTATGTCAGGTTGTGAGCCAGGAATCAGAGTGAGGTCATTATTTCACGCAGTATTCCTTTTGAACAAGCGCGATATACACAGCACAGCAAAAAAATAGTAATGAGGCTGAAATAAAATAAGAATATAAATGAAGAGTGTCATTCCGTGAGAGGCCGCTACAGACGCACCGAAGCGTGATCTTGACAACGCAATCCTAACTGTAACCAGTTAGGATTTTGTTGTTGTTTCGTATGAGCACGCTTTTTTTTTTTCCGCGTTATCAAAAACCACACAATGGAACAATGTGTCAGCATCGAGTTCTGCGTAAAGCCAGGGGAAAGCCCCACTGAAACACGTGATTTGTTACGAACAGTTTATGGGTTAGTCTGCGTCCAGAGCACAAACATTTTGATGGTTTAAGAGTTTTCAAGAGGGCAGAGAGAATACGGAAGATGAACCTCGCGGTGGACGACCAAAAACGACCTTCCATCCCTGAATAAATGGACAGAGTGAGGAGTTTACCTGCAAGAGACTGCCAGTTGGCACTTAGTAAGATGGCAAGTGAACTGTATGTGAACAAGGAATTGACAAGATCTATAATTATCACAGACTTGTCAAAATTGTGGTCGGCTTGATAACGCGCCTGCTTAAACAGTGATCAATGTAAGGACATTTCTGGCCAATGAAGGGACTGCAGTGCTTAATCACCATCGCGACCCTGCTCCAGCAGACTTTCTTCTGTTTCCCAGGTTGAAATTGAGATTGAAAAGTTGTCAATTTGTTGCGATAAATGACGTTCAGAAGAACGTGATGGCACGATTGAATTACGTCGCAGCAGCCGAGTTTGCCGAGTGTTTCGAAAGTTTATATGAACGCTGTAATAAGCGTATTTGGTCACTCGGATTAATTTCGGGGAACGAGGCAATAAACATGTCAGATGCATCGTTATTTTTATTTTATTTCTGTCTCATTACGTTCTTGCTACATTGTGTAAGTACATACGAGGTGCGATCGGAAAGTTTCAAGACTGCGCGTATAAAAACCCGTACACTTATCTCAGGTATTAAATTCATCCATCACCCTCGAAGTAGTTCCCCTGGGAGTGAACACAACGATCCCAGCGCCGCTGCCAAGCCTGGAAGCATCCCTGGAAATCTTTCTTTGTCAGCCTGTCAAGCACCATCTGCGATTCTGCCTGAATCTCTTCTATCGTCTCAAATCTCATTCCCTTTAGCTGAATTTTCATCTTTGGGAAGAGGAAGAAGTCACACGGCGAATAAGGAGGGTGCGGGATGACGGCCATGGTGTTGGAGCATACGCCTGTCTAGTCTTGTTGATATCTCTGTTTCCGTCTATTTAGATATGAAGTCATGTGTGGCTTTCATGAATGTAAAGTACTAGCATTCAAATTTCACACAAAACAAGAGGCATTTGTTTTTTTTAATTCCACTTTGGGTAGAAGATGTTGGCCTGATCTTCTTACCTATATGTGGAGTTCAATTGAGTATGAATTAAAAGCAAATGATGTGTTATTGTTATCTTACAGGTTCTGCCTTACTTTTTGCTAAACGGGGACAATGCTTTTTAAAACTGAATAAACCGAATGCTTGCATTCGTGATTGTTCACGAGCTCTTGAAATCAACCCAGACAATGCAGCGGCATACAAGTTTCGGGGCCGGGCCCATCGTCTGCTCGGGGAGTGGGAGGATGCTGCGAGAGACCTGAGAAATGCGTGTAAAATTGACTTTGATGAACAGGCTGATGAGTGGCTGAGAGAGGTGACACCAAATGTAAGTAATTTCTTCTTTAATTTCTTGAATTTGTCGCACCTATAATTGCTACAAATGCTGAACTGGCATAGAGAATACGATTTTCGGAGTGTGAGCATATGCGGTGGTCTTCAGGGCTAAGGGGCATGTAGTCCTGTGCCTAGTCCTAGATATTCTGTCCATTGTTCTAGGTTGAACTGGGGTCTGGATGTCCCAGCTTTGAATGCATTTTCTGCATATGGAAGTGTTTCACGTGTGACGTGTCCTTGTGTGGAAACGTCCTGAACACGCTTGACACTTCAGATATATTTCTTTTGTCTCATTTTGAAGTCCATATTTCCACAAAAATAGCTAACTTTGCCATACATAATTTGACATGTCCTCCCAATCTAACTGTATGCATGTTAGTCACACGCTGAAAACATCTCAAATTCTCCACTCTAAGGTCTTCATTGTTCGTTTCCTCAGTGACAGTAGCTTCTTTAACTGTTAAATAGTTGATTACGCAATAATAATCTGAATGAAGCAAATTGTTGTCAGAATTAGTAACCTGAAAATTAAAGTATACAAAACAATAATCTTGCCTGTTGTTTTGTATGGGTGCGAAACATGGTCTCTCACTCAGAGGGAGGAACACAGATTGCAGGTGTTTGAGAATCGGGTGTTGAGGAGGATATTTGGGCCTAGGAGAGAAGACGATGGGGCGTGGAGAAAACTGCATAATGACGAGCTTAAAAATCTGTACTCCTCCCCCAATATTGTCAGGGTGATTAAGTCGAGAGGAATGAGATGGGCTGGGCATGTAGCGCGCATGGATGGGACAAGAGGTGTGCACCGGGTATTGGTCGGGAAGCCTGAGGGGAAGAGACCTCTGGGGAGACCTAGACGTAGATGGGAGAATTATCTCAGG